ACGTGGCAACTTGCCTTGGTTATATGCAGGAAAGAGTTACATATACACTAAGTTTCCCAGTACACGTGTCCATACTCATAACCTGTCCCTGCTTAGTATTAAAATTAGCTCCAAGAAATCATTTCCATAAACTCCTCCCATCTGCGCTTGTGCAGTGCCTTCTGGTGGTGGGCGCTGAGGGTCGTGAGGATGAAGTAAGATGTCTTCATCAGGGTTGAACTTTTCACCTCGTCTCCTCGTGTGTGCTCTCTGAGCCCTTGGTCACAGTCTGAGCCATAAGGTTGGTTTGGTCCAGTTCTCTGGGTCTGAGGGGCTCCTGCTATTTTGAGGCATTGAATGTTTGACATTCTTTATCTTGTCCTTTTAAGAACAGTCCTCCTTATCTCTGAGCCCTTGGTCACAGTCTGAACCATAAGGTTGGTTTGGTCTGGTTCTTGGGGTCCCAGGGGCTCCTGTTATCTGGAGGCCTAAGCGCAGCACAGGCACATCACAAATGCAGCACATATTAAGCAGTGGGTGTTGCCTACGTATTCATTCTTAATCAGTCGCCCTTGAGTTTTCCAATCCCATGTTTCACCTTTACCTCAAAAAGTTGTAATACTTTTTCTAAGATTTGGCCAAATAAATTTGGGGATTCAGTAAATCCCTGAGGAGGTATGGTCCGTATGAGCTGTTGTCGCCTTCCTGTTTCGGGGTCTTCCCATTCAAAGGCAAAGGAATTCAGAGACTGTTCACTTAATGGGCAGGCCCAGAAAGCATCCTTTAAATCTATTACACTATACCATTTATGCTGAGGTGTTAGGTGGTTTAGTAAAGTATATGGGGTTTGCCACCACTGGGAATATGGTTATGGTTCGTTGATTCACAGCCCTAAGATCATGAACCAACCTATATGATTCATCAGCCTTTTTTACCAGCAAAATGGAGGTATTATGTTGGGACATACATGGTTCCAGCATCCTCTTTTGGAGCAACCTGTCTATAACTGGTTTGAGTCCTCCCCTCCAATGGGATAGGATATTGCCTAGTCCTTACTGGCTGTTGCGGATCCACTATTTCCACTACCAAGGGTTCTATATCTAATTTTCCTGAATCTCCCTCTTGAAAGGAAAGTAAACAGTGCTGGGTGCACAGGGAGCCTATGCCCAACAAACATGCACACCCTACCGTCGAACTTCCTAAATACATATTGAACATTGCTTTTACATATTCATAAGAAACCTGAGTACACCTATACATATGTATAACCCATCCCTGCTTCATATCATAATTCTCTTGGTGGTGGTCGTTGGGGCCTCATCGTTAAATGTGTGATGTTATCACCAACCATAGCATGGGGCTTGTCAACCCCCATGGCCCACATCTTCCCCTTCTTTATTAATATCAACCATCTTCTTGACACGAATTATTACTCCATATATCACAGTATACTTGCAGTTACCATCTGTCCTGTTCTTCATCTTTTCCTCATGGTTTGTTGACTCGCATTAGTGCCAGTGGATCAGCCCTCAAATACATTGCCTTGTGTGGGGCATGGACAGAACAACTGAAAGGAGCAGAGGAGTCAGACTTTGAGTCTGTGCACAAAAAGAAATGACAGGGCCTGATAGGCCTTGGCTCAAGGAAGGTTACATTTTAAACCAGTGGAAGATCAGTCAGTGGTGCTGTGCTTCAGGTGGTTGGCTATAAGTGGGTTGTTAAAATACGTGTCACTTCCTACATTCGTCTATCTACACATGATACTGACAGAAATTTTGGAAGAAAGAGCAAATTTTCATACTTAATTGTTAGGTCTATTAAGAAGAGTGCTTACTGAGAAGAAGAAAATTTATAGCCCAACCTATACCTTATACTGTATAGTTTATTCTTGTACTATATAACTTCTTTAATTCTATCAGCAAATGCCACTTTGCTACTTAAGTAATTGTGATAATTTCAATATATTACGTTTGGAAACTCACAGAGCCCAGAGGATCTGTCTATTACATTTTTACATGAACTGTAGCAGTGTAAACAGCAAATGTAAGTACTGTTAGTGAACTTTTAGGAGATGGCAAGTACTTACATTACTCTTACTAAGCTAAAAAGTGACAAAAAACAGGCTTCCAAGTCATGCTTGCCCAGTAGTCAAGGCTTTTTTTTTTTTTTTTTTTTTTTTAAAGTATGAAAACAAAAAAAAAATTGAAACTTAGATGTCCACAAAACAGAACTATTGTCTTATTGTCTTTTTGTGTCTTGAGAGTATTAGAGAATCTTTTAGACTTTAACACTTTGGTTTTGGACAGGATGATTATGATTATAATGATTATTTGTATTTTGTTGGGAAAAAAGTCTGGATTCTCTGCAGTAAACTCTATTTGTTAAATGTTTGTGTACACAGCAGACACAATCATCAGATACTTCTGACCGTATCTGCTATTTAACCTGCTGGACATTTAACACATTTCCTTATGACAGAAGGACTGTTGTGAGCTGGAGTTAATGCAGTTAACATACAAAGTGATGAATTAAATTATGTTTGGATGTTCCTTTAAGCAGAATCACTTTCTTTAGAAGCCACAGAGAGGCTACTCAGAGAGGTTTGTGCTAGGTCCTCAGATCACTTTCAGCTGTTCCACCTAGTTCAGCCAATTAGTCTAAGTAGTAATTTAGCCGTTCAGAGCAGCTACAGCTGTTTTAATGCCTGCAGGTAATCGTCTTGACAGTTCCTGGCTCCAAAGGCATACAAAGGTGCCTTACCTGGTATCTTCATTTTGTATGACTTGAGGGGAGGGTGTGGTGTGTTAATTAGTTTGCTAGATAGTTTGGGGAAAAAAATAATAATAATAATAAAAAAAAGTACGACTGGGTAACCTTTGCCACATTAATTATTTTATTTTTGTTATTGTGGTTTAAAGCTTCCCAGTTCTTATGTAATGTGCAGGATGATGGGATTTCTTCTTGAATACCATTCAATTCTACAGTTAATTGGGATAAGTGTCCGCATTTCTGTTGTCTGCCGTCACTTTAAGTCACTCAAGTTTGAGATGGGTTAACTTTGAGATGTGTCTGTGTTATGTTCTTAGGCAGGATTTGTGACAATGTAACTAACTGGGCAAGTCTGTTCAAAAAGTTTGCCTTGAAGCCTTGGTGCTGTGGTGTATTTTGGTGAGGGTAAAGTTTGGCAGTTTAGTAGCAACCCTAGTTAGTATTTGTCAAAAAGCAATCCCCAACAACTCCAACAACAAAAAGCCACAAGTTTTTCCAGCAGTAGAAAATAACAATTAGGCTTCTAAATTCAGCTTCAGGGGGCTGTTTGAGGATTGAGTATAGGTGATAATGGTGGTGGTGATTATTGTTAAATGCTTTCCTTGCAAAACTATTCTCCTAAGGGTAACAAAATAAGACTAAAAACAGTAGTCTAATGCATTTGCCCTGAACATTTCTTCTCAAGCTATATAACAGCTTTTCCCTGCTACTAAACTAAGCTAAAAAAAAATTAAACACAATTCTTGTTCAGAGCATTAAGTGTTACTTGGCAGCGTGTGGAGACAAGTTGAAAACTAAAGCCAGGTACATAATGTCTTCAAGCCTTTGTCTCAGGCTGTTTTGGAATTACAGAATGCTAGGTTACAATTTATTCTAGTTCTAGTAAGTTTAATGTGTGTTTATACTTCAATAATAGGACTGTTCTGACCTGTTTTTTTAATATGTCACAGGTGTCCACATTGTTTTTCACCATGCTGCCTTGTGCTGCTGAGTTGTACTTTAAGGAGGTACAGTGTCTTCATGTAGGGTCTGGGGCTTGATGCTCTCTTTCCTGTAAGCACTCCTACATCTGTGCCTCCTCTCCCCACGCTGAGCAATGCACAGGGATGGGGAATGGGGCTCGAGGTCAGTCCATCCCAGCTCCTCTCTGCTGCTCCATCTGCCTCTGCTGTGGGTCCTTCCCTCAGGCTGTAGCTCCTAAGTGTGATTCCTGGCTTTATGTTCAGTTTGATTCCTGGCTTTATGTTCATCAGGAACTCCTCTAGGCACCCCATTAGTATCTATGTACACTCTGTCATTGAATTATACTCCTAAGCCTCTTTTACTTCTTCTGGGTATTTGTGATGTTTCTCTTTCAAATGCCAGGATGAAGGGTATAGCTAATTGAACAAGTGCCCAAGTGCCTCCCCAATTAGATGGTAGGGTGGGCTGTAAGATCTTCCCTACACAGCACCACCAGAGATCTGCCCTGGGGATCTCTAGTCTTGAGCAGTTTCCCATCAAGTCCTTGGTAGCACAAGGCAAGTTCTCCCAGATGCCAGGTAGCACTCACACCCTGCCGTGAGAGGCAAGCTGTATGATTACCTATAGCTGTAGAGAATGCAGGGGGAGCCCTGATATTGCTATCACACAAGGAACAGCAAAGAGACTCACAGGCCTCATTTCCCCAGGCAGTCTTTTCTTGGTACAATGCAATCATACATCGCATCCCCTGGAAATCCTTGGTCCACCCCCACGGGAAGGGCACTATCTGGGCAATCGGTCATCCTGAGGCACAAGCATAGCAATTTCTATGGTTGAGACTGTGGACGGTATATTTGACCCATTCTATCCAGGCATTCACATCCCCATACCCTGTTTGAATCTCAAATGTTTGAACGGCTGCGTTTCAAAGAGGGCCTCCTGTTTTCTCTCCTGTTTCCTCCTTCAGTTTCTCCCTTTCTCTGATAGCAATAGAGGATCGTTTCCATACAGCTATTCTCAATCTGGCTGTTGGGTCTCTCCCAGTTATTTGTTCTCTCTGCTCAGTTGTTGTTGGGCATTTAAATCTCCACAAGCTAACACCTCACAAGCATCAAACATGACGGTCTGTGGTACATAACCCTCTGTCACAGTCACCCATATCTTGACGGGGTACCCCGTCTTACTATTACTTACTAAGGTTATGCCTTTTCCAAGTTGCCAATTGATCAAGGCCTTCTCTAAGGCCTACAATTACTTAGAAAAAAGTAACAGTTGAATTTTCCCTGTCATTATTTTTAACCTGCATGTTTCCAAATAATTATCAATACAAAGAATAAGATATATGTACTACTAGAGCAAAAGCCCCTTGGGAGCACTTCGATTTGCTATAGGCCAGTCCTTTCTCTCACTCGCAGGCCACACTCATTAGTTACCTGTGAAAATAAAAGGTTAGATTACAATTGTAAGCTTTTATCCCGCTCAGAGTCCACTATGAGATTTTTCTCTTTGATTTCAACTTCCAACAAGTCTTCTGTAGGAACAGCTTCCCAGGTATTAGGGTCGACGGATGCCTTCACTTGAGTATAGTGAGTCCAACCTTTTTCCACAGTTCTTACAGCTGTTTCAGTGGTCAGTAATGGTCCTTCCCACTCAGGCCAGAGTTGATTCTTTCCAGATCCGAATCAGGACCCAACTTCCTGGGTGGTGGTGGTGAATGGGGTTTGTGGGGTTTGAGCCAACAGCCCATGGGTCCTGAGAGATGACAAAGAAGAGGACAACCCCAGAACAGAGTTCTTAAGAAAACTCACTTGTTTTGAATTGTGGTTTCTCATCCCTTCTGCCCAGAGCTGCTGTTCGGGCAATCCGAACAGCAGCTCATATGGTGAAATTCCTATATCCTTTCTTGGTGCTGTTTGAACCTATAGGAGTAAGCATTTTACCCAAAGAAGTTGGGTTTCTAACACTAATTTAGTTAATTGCTTCTTTAATGTCTGGTTCATTAGCTCCACCTTCCCAGAAGAGGAGGGGTGTCAGGGGGAGTGAAAATCCCACCCAATCTCTAAGGCCTGCTTTAACCCTTGCAGTAAAGCTTACGCCCATCCAGTCACTTGGTCAATTAGGACAGACAAGTAGCTCAGTAAAGTCTACCTGGATACTTTGAAAAAGTCAAATCCCTGGCTCCCGTCCCCCTCTAGGTGGGTTATGGATGATCTTTTTATTTACCCTTTGACATATGGTACATCCTCTGCATATTTGCTTCACTAAAGTGTACAGACATACTTAGCACAACATCATACATTGCTTGCACCTCCCAGTGACTCTTGATGTAAAACAATTAACATTTGCCTCATTGGTGCTTTATTAAGCATTTCTCTCCCATCAGGGAGTATCCATTTTCCTTCAGACTTCATGGCTCCTGATTCCTTAAAAAAAAAAATCTTTCTTTTAAAACTTTTTAGTTCTTTCTTAATTTTCAACAATTCCCTGAATCCTCTTTGGCTTTACTCTTTGTTTTCCTTCAGACATTAAATGCCTTAAATACCTGACTTCTCTTTCTACACATTGTAATTTATTTTTCAATACTCCCAAGCCCGGCTTTCCCAGAAAGTTGAATAGCTTGTTAGTAGCTTCCTTCACAACTCTTTTTTCCTGTCCTGACAATAAAAAATCATCCACATATTTGTAACAGTAGTACCTCCTCAGGAGGTTGCAATTGCTCCAAAATCTGTTCTAGAACTTGCCCAAATAAATCGGTGGCCCTGTAAACCCCTGAGGTAAAACTGTCCACCTGTACTGTTGCTTCCACCCCCATTTCAGGGTCTTTCCAGTCAGAGGTGAATATATCTTTACTCTCATCCGGCCCCAAGGGGGCCCACCGCTGCCCAGAGCCAAGCCATGAGCAACACAGTCAGTGCCTCTGTGAGAGCACATCCACGAAAACAAACAAACAAACACAAACCTGTTGCTCAACAGCAGCTGGGAGAGCCAGGAGCCAGAAACCTCCCCGCAGACACCACAGTCAGCGCAGGATGGGGAGGAGGCGCTCCAGGCGCCGGAGCCAAAGCCCCCCTGCGGCCGCTGGAGAGGCCCCTGGTGGAGCAGGATGTCCCCCCACCCCACCCCTTCCTGATACTTGGGAAACTGACCAAACACCACAGCAGACACCAAAACTTCCAGACTGTTACTTAGATAATGCCTGCATCCTCTTTCCCTGCTCACTCAACTTCAGACAGCTCTGTCAGACACTACATACCACACCTTTAACACCTTCAGTAACCCTTTTTAACACTTCTATCTTCCTCCAGCCTGTACTTTCACCAAAGGCTCAGTCATTGGCCAACTCAATTCCATACCTTTCTCCCTCCAGGATGCAGAAACAACATACCAGTATACCGTATTTAATCCCATTTTCCTTCTTTCCTCCTTCTTACACTCAGGATATTCCTATTTGAAGTGGCCAGCCTGGCCACACAAAACATCAAAGCCTGTCCCTGCTAGGATTCAGGCAGCAGCACAGGCAGCCTTCCTTGCCTGCCATTCTTTCATCTCTCTCCCTCTCCTTTCCACCCTGGCCCTGACTCCCCCTGAAGATTTTCTTCCTCTTTCTCCACACTCTGCCCCACTGCACTGTCACTACCAGTAGTGTTGCTCTCTGCTTTTCCTTCTCATCTCCCCTCCTGGCACACACCTTCAGGGCCTGCCTCAGGAGAGCCCCCAGTGACTGTTCACAACATCCCCCCACCTTCTGGAGCATTTTCTGTGTATCTTGCCAGGCTTTAATCACACAGTGAACTTCCAAGTGCCCTTGGGATACCAGGTCCTTAGGACTCACCCCCGAGTACTTTCTCATTCTGACCCCAAGTCTCTCATATGATTTCTGTGTTGCACACTATTATTTATTCCAGCCAGGATGGCAAGTGGGTATTTCTGCCGTGCCGGTATGACCCCTGGTCCTGGGGGATGAACTCTTTCCCATTCTTGTATAGCAGCTCTACTCCTGATCATTCCCATTTTTTTCCCTTAAAACAACATACTTATAGGCATAATGCCCCCCCCAAAGAGTATAAGTCAGGCCCTAGAAACTGGTCTAATTGTTCAGCTAGGCTGTTGGGGTCCTCAATTAAAGACTTCCTCTCCGTCTTAAAACTCCTAACCTCTCTGCTGAGCCACAGAACCAGACTCCACGGATCAGGACTCCCCAGAAATACATCTCACTCACACATCACACTGGGAGTCTCAGCTGACCCCCAAGGCAATACTTAATATTTCTTACCTTGGTCTGTGCACAGAGTTACCGGATCAGTTCTTAAACCTGGAGTGCCTACCTTCTTCCCTTCCCCACTACTTCAAGGATCCTGCCTCTGTAACCGGTCTCGGGCCCTGGGCCCTCTGTCAGCTCTCCGCAGAACCACCACTGTGGATGCACAGAACCGCTGAAATCAGTGGGGCATGCCTTCCTGCTGCTGCGGCGGTGGGGCTCCCCGGCAGGTGACTGGATCCGGGACAAGCCCCCAGGTTGTGAGAAACACTCTGTAGCCAATAACTTATGCTCAGGTGAGGGTCTCAGTGAAGTAGTAATTTATTCACTGTTGCAATGGCGGGCGCCCCACAAGCAGGAGCGCCTCTACTAGCTTCAAAATATACAGTTTATATACCTTTTGATGACAGGACCCTCCCCTGTTTCCCCACTGAGTGGGTAATCCAGGTTCACAATCTATCTGATGCTTCACAGACTACACATGTCCTGCAGTTGCCAGCCTGTTAAATTTCAGATCTTTTGACTTTATTACTGTTTGAAGTGGTGTAATGTTTCTTCACTTATCTGACTTGGCTTGACACTGTGATATTCACCTAATTGTTCTGAGGAGTCTGGTTGTCTGCATTTTACCAGGTCGCCTGCTAAGTTTTCTTATCACTGCAAGCATATCGCAATACCAAATTCCTTACTTTTAAGCGATGTAACTCTGCAAAAACAACATTTCTATTCACACATAGGAAGCATCCTGCTGCTCTACTTACTAGTGGGCTGCAGGGCAGGCACCTGGCCTGTCCTCTGCCCCTTCACTCTGAACTTGCAATTTGTGCAGCTCTTGCAGACTTGTTTTCTCCTCTCCTCCTCTGCCTGTCCAGCATTTTCCCCCTTTCTTAAACCCGTTTCCCCAAGATGCTGCCATCTCAGCTGCAGGGCCTGGCTGTGCCCTGCAGTGCTGGAGCTGCCTGGAACCGGCTGTGTCGGCATGGGGCAGCCCCGTGACACTTTGAAGTGCCTGTTGTTGGACTTCACTTATTCTAGAAAAGTTAGCTTTTCGATTTGTAAGTAGTATTATTCATTGTTTTTGCTTTTATTGCCAGGGCTGACATGTTCTTAATTCCTTTTGGGTACTACTTCTGTGTATTGTATCTTCAGATTAATGTTAGCTGCAGTGTAAGAAAGCATCTACTAGTTATGATGTAAAATAGGCTTAAAAAAATAAAAACAACAACTTTGAGCTACCACAGCTTTATATGTATGGAATATTTTCAGCAGTAATAGAGCCTTCAAGAAGGGAGCAGCATGGCTGTTATTTACAGCACAAAAATTGCCAAAGAGGAAAATATTCTTGTTGAAGTGAATAAGGCTATTCATGTAAGAGTATCTGGTCAAGGACCTTTTTCAATGCAAAGGATAATGAGCAAAGGAGGAATCCATAAATAAAGCACACTGGGACACAAACCAGACAGGCAAGTGATAAGAGGGGCAGCAATGAGAACCAAGTCTGATCAGTCTCACTAACTGATGAGGCCATGAGAAAGTGAGAGTGTTTATTCCAGCGGTCTGAGTGGGAACCGGTCAATCAGGAAAGAAGGGGAAAGGGGGGAAACCAAGAACAAAAATATATAGAGACGCAGGCTCTCTTTCTAGGAAGAGAAAAATGGAGACGGTGACAAGAAACAAACCCCTTGGTTGCAGTGGCTGACGGGCTGTTGAGAAACGACAGGCCCTGCTTCCAGGGAGATCAGGCTGGAACTCACGGCTGATGGAACTGTACGGACCCACGGGGGGACCTGCAAAGTGCGGGTGGGCAGGAGGGGTGTGAAACAGGGCCGTCAGTATGACTGCCTGGCAGAGCCCTGCACCTGATGGGCACAGTCTGTCCTGTCTTCTTGTGTTGTGCTCAGTCTTTCCTCCACCGTCTGCACGCTGTCGCTGTGGCACAGGTGGGTGTGCTGCAAGCCCCAGCCCCTGGTGAGGTGGGGAGAGGGAGCAGGGTCCTGGCATCGGCATCAGGAGGGCCCATCGCTGTCTGGCCCTGCCGAGCGCCCCGCAGGGCAAGGGGCAGAGGGGCTGTGTCAGGCTGTGGGAGGTGGATGTGCAATGTCTGTGTCCTGCAGGTCTCGGGATGTTGTCTGTGGGCCTGCACCAGGGCCTGCTGGCTCTGCCAGCCCCAGGGCTGGAGGGGATGGTGCAGTGCCCCTCAGGGACAGGGTCCTGTTGCAGGTGCACTGTCTGGGTCTGCCTGTGTGGCTGGCCACCTCATGGGCTCTGGGACAGGTTGCCTCACTACCTGCTGAGCCCGAAAACAGTAAAGGGCCGAGGGCTCTGGGCTGGGCAGGAGGGCATCCTAGGCCACAGCTGGTGGAGGAGGAGGCTGCTCATGGCATTCCTTAACGACTTACGCTTGTAAATTTTAAGTAAAGATGTCTGAAGCGTTGTCACTTCTGGCAAAGATATTACAGGCCTTTTTTTTTTTTTTTTAACCTCAGGAGTTGGGTTTAAAACAGCTCTGTCAAATGGTTTAAGTTCAGTCGGGTGAGTGACCATAAATCTCCAAAAGGAAAATCATTTTATTCTTGATCTTACAATTGATAAATAAAGTTTAACTGTGTAAACAAAATGAGCCATCACAGAGTATTGCTACTCATCTGCTCATCTTTGGAACTGTGTGTGCCAGTATCTGAGCTGAAACATAAAGCAGGCTTGAAAAATAAACCAACTGTCCACTTTCTGTTCCAGATTGAGAAGACTAATGGGACCATACTGAGTTTTAAAACTTGTGTGAATTAATAGTTCACTGTGTTTTTCAGTGAAAATAGACATCCGTGTTTAACTTGTATCCAGAAGAAATGTATAGACTTGTTATCAAGAGTTCGCAGATGTTCTTCACTGGACATTTAAAAATGTTTTCATTCTTGTAGCTGTTCACGTGGGCTGTCCTTCCCCTCCCTGTTTTCACAGTACTTAATTTACTTAGTTCCTTGTAATTGATTTTTGTAGAAGAACATCACGATCCATTTTCTTCCTTGATGTTTAAAGTTTTATTTTCTTAAGAAAAAACTTTTGCTATCCAGACCTCCAGGAAGATCTGTTGTGCTGTGTTAATGGATCAGGAATTCCACTGCTGTAATGCATTTTTGTTTTCAGATTTGTTTAAATCAATAGACTTGGCTAATCATGCTTTTTTTTTTTTTTTTTTTTTATTTCTTGGCAGTCGATTTATTTTGCACATTCCAAGCGAAGAGAGAGACAATGCAATCAGAGTATGCTTTCAGATTGAACTTGCCCATTGGTTTTACTTGGATTTCTACATGCAAAACACACCAGGATTACCTCAGTGTGGGATAAGAGATTTTGCGAAAGCTGATATCCTTTTTATTACTGTGATTGTTTTCTGTCTCAGTGGTCGAAGTATAAACTGAATATTATTAACAAAACTTTATACCTGCAGCAGGAAAATGTGTTAATGATTAAAAAGTACTATTGCTGGATTTATGATTTTTATCTCTTCATTGCTTTCATAATTTTGTGGCATCCATATAAGAGATGTTTCTCAGTTGGCTTAAGACTATGGAAAACAGGTAATTTCTCTGAGGATTTTTCCTTATGGCTGCAGTTTGACGGAGCAGGTGGGCTTCAAAGATGAGGTGCTGGAGCTCTTCATGGTGTTTTCTCTCCTTTATTTAATCTCTTTCCAAGGAAATGCTGATGTAAATGTTAAGCTGAAGATGGTATGTGTTCCCTGATGGGTAGCTGTATGTATTTGTGTCATGAAAAGATGCTGCTAGAAACTGTTCTGTTGGCAGGAGAAAGGACATATGACTACTAAATTCATATGGTTAACTTCCACTTTTTTTTATTGCTCAAAAGGCCTGATAAAACTTAGACAATGTAGTCCTCATTGGGGAAAAGCTCATAAAGTAAATTTCATGCCAACATCCAGTAATTGTTTTATTGGTAAGCTTTTCTCATTGATGTGGGACTGGGTGTTGCTTCTGACTTTCATGATATCTCTGCTTTCACTAACCAAAATATTCCTTGTTAGTTTGATAATGAATTTCTACTTTAACAGTGAACTGTAGAAATGTGATCTTCTTTTTTTTGTTTTCTTTTTTTTTTTTCTTCTTTTTGATGTTATGTGTGTTATTTTTTTAAAGTAGATTTTTTAGATTATAACAGTTTTCAGATCAGCATAATTTCTCTGGTAGTTGTAGGCTGTGCAGGAAAAATACAGTAAGACAGATAATATTCATTCATTATATCTTTTGCTCTCTGGCTTACATTTGCTAAAAAATGTTAGTTCTGCTGCAGTTTCTTGTGTACACTGCTAAAGAATGTTTGAATGTTTCTTATTGGCAGTATAGTTTTGTATATAATATAGTAACTTTCTTCTTTGTTTTAAAGCTTTTGTAGATTCCCTTTGAAATTTTAGAGTTATAAAAGTTCTGTTCTTATTTTCTCTGTGTGGTGAGTTTTGATAAAGTGTATTAAATTTAGATTTCTGTAACATGATGCCATTAAAAATAGTTTTTAAATAGGAAATGCTTAAGAATGGTTTCTGCACAGTAGGTAACAAATGATTGTGCAAAAAATTTCTCCACTTAAACCGAGAGAGTATTTTTGTCTCCCATTAGTTTCAAAATGTAAAAATTTTTAAGACTAACACATTTAAAACAGCAGTTATGTGGATATCTTTTCTTCAAAATTAGAGGACACTTTCAAACAAGCACCGTCTTTTTTCATCTTTTAATTGGTTTGCATTAGAATTGCCAAATTACTCAATTAATGCTTTTTTAACTTTTGATTTTGGTAATGGATTTTCCATGATACTTCCAACTTACAAGACGTTGCATGTGAAAGCACTAGGAGGATAGTGCGTGGTTATTGTAAATACTGGAACGGCTATCTTTTGTTTAACTGCCAGTGATTGGTTACCCAAGTTTAGCTTCCTTGACTGCTGCTGTACTCTTCAATCACTGCCCTTTTTTACTGCCTCAAGGTGAAGACGTACAAAAGGTTTTAGACGAGTGGAAGGAATATAAAATGGGAGTGCCAACCTATGGTGCAATTATTCTTGATGAGACACTTGAAAATGTAAGTATGAATATGTAAATATGTAAATGTAATGTAAATATGAATATAGTTTCGAAGAGCTGGGGGGAGGATGGCGTGTGCTGGCAAAAGTAATCTTTGTACTTTACATTTTGTAATTTTGTAGTTTACGTTTGTTGTCTGGTTACAAAAAAAAAAAGCACACTTCAGATTCACAAAAAAATGACAGATATTTGACACTGAGTGTGTACAAAAATAGAATATGGGAATAAGATATGGAAGACAGTAAATACTCTTCTGCTTGCTTTCCTATTCAGTTTTACTTCTTTATTCAGAGTTACATGATTTCATTAAAAAAAAAAAATCTACAGTTTTTGCTAGAACACAGAAAACCTAATGGGTTCCTCCTCCAGGCTGAAGTCACTGTTCTGGGGGGTCAGAAGCAGAGGACAGCGAAGGGAAGAGAATTAATATAAATCAATTAGAACAGTTGGTGTTGACAGATGTCTTTACTGTATTTTGCAGGTTCTTTTGGTTCAGGGCTA